TCGCCTCCCTAGCGAGCTCCGAAGGTAGGAGTTACGTAAATTTACCCCCCCATCCGAATTCTTTCCAACTTTTTAAGGGTCTCGTAATCATAATTAAGTTCGCTCTCGGTGCGATGCTTTATTTTAGTCGCACGGGAGAGAATTTAATGAATTTTTTTAATTAATTTTCATGCAAACTTGGGAAAGTCGGATAATTGCATTAGAATGAGAAAATGAAATCTTTACTTGTTTAATTTCTTTCCTTCATTACCGTCGTCAGTCAGATATTTGCCTAATTTGATTGATCATTAATGAACATTTTGGACAAGAGAACATTAATTTGTTGTCATATCCTTTTCGCAAACCCTATAATTGATTTAAGTCCGAAAAGTCGTCTTGGCAAAAATTTGTGTCACGCAGATATATACATTTTAGGAAAGAAATATTCCGTGAATCTCCCTCACGAATTGGAGTGTATACCTGTGTGTGGTAGTGGGGGGGGGGGGGGGGGTTATTACAGACCACCCGGTCTTAGCTGCTCCTTCAAATTGTTAAACTTTCAGCCCTTTTGCGATTTTTTATGACAAATACTACTTTTGATATCTCAATACTCAGAAGCAGAAAAGTGCCCCCCCCCCCTCATTACCCCAAAAATGAGCCAATTCGATCACTTCGCCTCCATTTGATTTTTCCAAATATATCCGAAAATAAAAACACTCAGACTCTGGCCATTAAACCCACTGTTAAATTTTTGGGGGAGAGTTGGCCACCATTTGAATTTTCGAAATATTTCTAAAACCAAAAACGCAAAAATCGTGAGCATACATGCACAATCAATAGAGCAGAATAGAGAAAAAATTGGCACGTAACTGAAAGTACGATTGAAAATGAGAATGCTTCAATTAGTGCAAAAATCATAACATCAAAAGATGGAGCACAAACTACAACAGACATCAAACCAACTCAATCATTAATATAAGAAAACGTCATTCCCATTAATAAATAAACAAAGACTAAGCACGTTCAAGGAAGATAAAATAAGAAAGAGAAAGTGAAGGTAAGAGTTTAAATGCAGAATGATAGTGGATAAGGAATTGATAAGATAAGTGATCGTTTTACAAAGCCTATAGGAGTAGGACACCCCTCAGTGTATATTGGAGCACTCGGACGAGCTTCAACGTTGTCACTTTCCCGCTAATAATAATTTCATAATAAAGATATATATTTTCGAAATTTCCGAAACTTCTATACCTTTTTTCTTGATCTTTCACGTTCATGTGCCCTTTACGTCCTCATCGCCCCCCATTTTCACAACTCCATTTAATCTCTTATTTTTAATGTAGCATCAAACCTTTTTGGTTCATCGTTTTCATCACCATCATCCATTTCCGTTTTTTAAATACACCCCCCCCCCTAACTAACGGGTTTTTTTTTTGAATTTTCTTTGGGGTTGCGGGTTTTTTTGGTATTGAGTATTATGAAGTATATTGAGTTAGAGTTGTTTATTCCAAATTTCTTACTGAATTTGGCTTTTGCAAATCAGTGGTCATTCGGATGCCTCGTGGCCGGTTATTCGCAAGGGATAAGTTACCAGCGCCAGTTAGGCGAGCGATAACACAATATTAATGTCTTTTATATAACCAAAACGGTTGATTCAGATTGTTTGCCATGAAACCCGAAGTCAGCGATCTTGGCACTTGGTGGGTTTTATTTGATTACAGATTGCCTATTAGCACCATTTTGTAGCCGGTTTTTTTGCAATATTGAGAAAATAAGGGCGAAGTAGATAGGGTCTGTTTTGGGGGCACTAAGCGCGAAGCTGTTCAAAATCGAAGAGTTGCAAATAACCGAATTCTGAAAAAACCGCGCACATTATTAGTACGGAAGCGTCGCTGGTTAAATCAAAATCCATTACGTCCCGTTTCGTAACATCAAAATCTAAGTGGAAACCGTATCAGTGATACCGTGCAGTAAAAGTTCCTTTGCGGTCGTCGAATAAACATTACGAGAGGATTAAGTAGCGCAATTAGCAATATCGCGAATACTTTTTCGGTAAAAGCAGCGCGGGGTAAATTTAGTAGCGAGATTCTAGAACTATCGAAAAATTATAAATGTACGAACAAACTTTTCCGGTGAATAAATCACAATCATTTCGAAACAAAATAAATGAGTTCGGTGTTTGACACGGAACTTGTTGGCCTTCCAGTGCCCTATTAATAAATTATATTGCGAGAGCGAAAAGCTGGTTCAAAGCAGATGATAAAAATAGACGGTTCATTGCGCGATCAACTACAAGGTAATCGTACACAAAATCCAAAAAACTTCAGCAGTACTCCTTCCAGAGATCCAGTTTTAAGGGACCATCTTTTTGAGAAAGTCAGTACTGCTTTGTACCATAGGGAAACGATTCTAGAAAACACGATAATTAAGGTAACGCAATTCCTTTTGATTTGTATTTAATATAACTATCGGTTCTCTTTAAGAAATTGCATTAAATTTGAAAGTAATGCGGAAAATTCTTTAAAAAATTGATCTTTGTAGATTGGCTGAATAGAGCAGAAGTGTTTCGTAAAAAATAATTTCATTTGAACACTTTTGGATTCTTTTGAAATTGTCAGTTAAAGTAAGGCTATTCCTATTTATATGAGTCTAATTTTTTCGCTAGTTATAACATGATGTTTTATGTATAAAATTGTCATATTTATTGTTAATTGAGGGTTAAAAAAGGGGAAGTTAGAAAGGAAACGTGGTAAAGGTGTAGGGATTACTTTTCAGTACTCGTAAACTTAAACATCGAGTTAAACACATTCCATCCATATATTCCAGATATGCTTTTTTTAATTCTATCACGCCATATTTATATTTGTGTTTAAACTATTTATCTATGCTAATGCCGAGCGAATCCAAGGTGAGTTCGGCACAATTGGCGCTCACTATTTCGCTTTGAGAACTAATTTGCTTTTATTTGCTTGAATTATGCAGAATTCGTCTTCGGCTCGTTCAGAATCGATGTAGGAATTACCTAGTTAAAACTGTTAATCGATTTATTTGGAAAGCAAAACATGCAAAACTTTTACATACCACGAATCATATGCTCCAAATTTTACATTTAGGTATCTAGTCCGCCATATTGAATTTTTTATGGTCGAGTAATGATAAACTAAAAACTAATGCCGCTTGGAATTTTTTGAATTGTTGGGTGGAGGAACACAGTTCGAGCTTTCATGTAAACTACCGCCCACCTCTTCGATCACTTATCGATATCGGTTATAATTCCTTATATCTCGAGAACGGAGGATCTCAGGACGATACTCATAAAATGAAAATGGGACGTCTGGACGAGACATATTTGTGGAATCAAAACTTCAAATGCTAGCATCTCGAGAGTGTCGGAAGAGAGAACTCACAAAAGGAAAATGGTATGTCTCGACGAGACTTGAAATGCTAATATATTGAAAAATAAGGGTCTGAGGGGAAAACGAAACGTAAATGCGAATGAGAATGAAGTTTGCATGCTACTACCAATTTGTCTCAAACTTTTTTGCATCCACTGCACTGAACTAGTGTCCTTTGAGGCGGCCATTTTTTAAGTACACCCAAAAAAACGGATTTTCAAATTCAAACCTGAGATATATGTTCAGTTTGCCAAAATGCTCGGAACGGGGGCGTATTTCAACTTCCTTTCCCTCCATCCAGCAAGGAGCTATGTTCAGGAATGCCAAGACCCTCCCCGATGCGTTGCAATGGTGTTGAACTACTTTTTGGAAGATCGTGTCGCAAAGTGCAAGTCGTTATTTTTTTGGTGATCAGAGCAAAAAATGCAGAGTAGTGTTTAGTTTCAGGGCGTTACCACCTTTAAAAATGTTACCCAAGGGTGTTCGAAAGGTTAGTTGCCTGCTCTTTTGTCGCTTACTCGTCAGTGGCACAAAATATATGGCTCTTTCTGAACTATTGTGTGTTAGAATATTAATCTCTGAATTAATGATCGTTTTTAGTACCGTTGTTACCTTATACTATTTTATGACTTCGTCTATCTAGGACAGATGAAGTATCACTTAGCGTAATGTAGAAATCAATACAGTCTCAAGCCAGGGTCTAAAGTAGGCGATTTAGGGATTGGTAAACAGCCCACATCCATTCCATTATGGTAGCGTATTTCTTTATTTCGGCATTCATTCATTAAATCATAGGCTTAGAGAACCAGATGTTCGTTTCGCACATGTGTTCGCGTGTAGGAAAAAAAATTACGAAAACGACAGGGCCCACTTAATTAACCATTTTCGTGGAATACGTCATCTTTAAAATTTGAATGTTAAAAAGTTTCTGTTAGGTCGCTAACGGAGAATTGAAAAAAAGTGTTTAAAAATCAATTAACGTTCGCGTTTACATCTGTTTGCGAGGCGCCACAATTAAAACGTTCACGTGGGCGCGCGTTTCGACATTATTTTACGAGACGAGCTTTCCGTGTTTCTTTTACTAGAGGAGGCCTTCGGAATTCAAACCTGAAAGTGAATGTTTCGCGGATAAACAAGTGTTTGGCGCCAGTAAAACCGTTACTATCTTTTAAAAATGATGGCGCGGCCGAAATTTTACTAAAGGTCAATTCGGCAGCAACGATTACACTACAGTCCAACGCGAGTTGGGCCCATTCCTAAAGAAACATCCACTGCTGTTTTTATTTAATGTAAATCGTATAACAATTGTCTATTATGTAGCCATTCTGCATTCACATTGCATGTAGAACATTAGAACTGGACATTTGCTGTGAATTTCTGCTTGTCAACATTCCAAACACATCTTGTTTATTAATTACCTACTTAGAGCGATTTTATCCATCTTCTGTTAAACAAAACTAACAGATAGAAAGTAACTATTAGTTACCTTTAATAGAAGGGTCTGAAACTTACAAATATTCCTTACGTCATGTAAAAATACGTGTAGAATTTGACGATGTAAAATCAGTTCAAGAAAAAATATGGTCTGTTTCATTACTGTGGCTTTAATATTGATTTTTTTTTCAGTAGGTGGCATGTCCCGGCCCCCCAAGCCGGCGGCCACCGCCAAAAAAGTCGCACCGCCTGCTGTACCGCACGAGTTTCGCCACTCGGGTAGCTCGTTTGGATCTGCAGGATATTCGTCGTCCGAAGATGCCGTCTTCCTCGCTCCTCCCGATACACCAGGTAATCCCAGAGGTAAGTAGGGTTTGGATAGATACGAGTGAACTCTCGTACTACTAAAAGTGTTTGAAAGTTTTAAATTGATGTTTTTTTTTCGCAATAAATTCTGTTGACGGTTAGCTCAATATGTCTATATTTTTAGCGCATTTTGCAACTCATGTTGAAATTATGGCCACTTTCTTCGTCCCTCTGTCCGCCCGAGGCTACCCCTACAGTTTTTATGATATTTGGTTCGTTCTTTTGGCATTCAGTACTTAGCGTATAGCCCTGGCACCTCAACCGAGAAAAATCTTAATAATTAATGTGCGCATGCGCAGACTATGTACCTAATACCAACTTTCTTATTTATGAACATATTTTGTTGAAATTACCACAGATGCTTCTAGTAAAGAGAAGCACATCTCATATTGTAAAATTCAGATGTGGGCTTGCGCAATGTCAACTATTATTTATAGACATTTATGCCATAACTTATTTTTCTTTGTACACATAAATAGTCCCGTTACGTTACCTTCCGGGCAGTACTGAAATTCCATAAAATTGCTCGTCTTTTTTTTCATTTTTTAACAAATATTTTCAAGGAGGATGGATCTTTTTCTTCTCTATATGATTGAAAAATTTTCTGTATGATATGGCACACAGCATGCTAGATTTCATACATTTTCCAAATATTGAATAACAAATTTCTCTATTTTTTTTTGTATATATACCATATCCATATTTTATGTTGTCGTACAGCAAATTGCTTGCTCTTTTCAAATATCGTAAAAAGCTATAGACATTGCATTTGAAAAACAAAAGTGGCATCGATTTTCGGTGATACCGGAAGTTTGAATTTCCGATCAAATAGATCGTAATGTCACATATGAAATTATATTTATCAAATTTTTTGTATCTCGCCAAATAGATAAAAATAAAGGAGATATTGATCTTACTCGAACGCATTGTATATATGTTTAGATTCGTACGGATCCCAACTAACCACAAACCCCGTTTAAAGTCATTTTTTTTTTCAAATTTTCTTAAGAAAAAGGTAAAGTTCCATGTTTTGGACAAACGCACCAAACCCCAGACGTCCCATAGACCATTCCTCATTGCATTTGACCTCTAGAAACGTGACATGATGATTCCGACTTGCGGCATGAGAGCGATCAAAATTTTGTTGCACAGTGAAATTATCTGATTGGTTAGAATTTGTAACTATCACCAAGCTGATTGGTCGTATATGAATGGAGTGTATTAATCGGGTTAAAAAAAACTACCACTATAGCACGCCTTTACCGTAATAAGAAGTATCTACGTTAATGATACATTGTCTCCTCATGGGGAAGCTTTAGAGTTGTTTACTATCCAATTTGTTTACCGTAATAGTTTGTAAATCGTAAAATTCCCTTTAAACTGTAGATCACTAAAATTAGGTTTACGAATTTTATACTGTTCCGAGCGGGTTTCCAATTTCACCCTTGCATTGAAGGTCGCCAAAACAACTCATAAAATTTGAAACCACTCTACCGGATCTTGACGCGAATCTGAATTTTTCACAAATTATTAAACCAACGCGCGCAAACTTACGGGTGGTTGACTTAAATTTTCCTCACCACTTGACGCGAATGCTATCGTGGCTTAACGCGCATTCTTCACGGCTATCTACCAGCAACTTCGTTCCAACTACTTATATTTTTTTATAACACCCATTCTGGAACGTACAACCTTTCCCACCAATCAAACTTGAGAAAATGAGATTCCTCAGCATCCGCGTGGAGAAGAATCTCGCTGAATCTGCAGAATTCACGCTACCCCGCAAGCTGTGACGTTTGGTCAAATCGAATAAAGTGTCATGAGTTTGAACCTTTTTCAAATGCTGTAGCGCTAACAACAGTCAATACCCTTTTGTTAAAATGCACGTGATTGAACGAGCTGAAGTCTTTGAGTATTGAGGCAATTTGGTTGGATCTTTTCAACAACCTAAGCACTGTATACTAATTCTGTCTATCTGCCATCCCCAAAACTACTAAATTTTACCACAACATTTACTTGCTCTATTTCATTAAATTTATACTCCACAATACAAATTACCACTCGGCTTGCCCAAATCGCCATGAAACTCAACATTGACTGGGTTCGTGAGCACACTTGACAAAAAAATTTTGAGCAATTACAATAAGTTTATATCTAAAATGAATCTCTAACTAACAAAAATTCCTACTACTAAATTTAATCTATCCCGAAATAATTATTAATGTTCGTCAAATAACACGGAAGAAAATAGAAAAATGTCATTTCGCCGTGCTCCATATTTGCTGACTTCTTTCGCTGTACGTGTTTGTAGTTTTCGTCTTGATTGTTGAAAACGAAGATTTAGCTTTGTAATCGGTTCTTGTAATAATAATTGTATAGTGCATTTGATTGTTTTCTTATTAAATCAGCCTGTTAGTGTTATGAAAACGCTTACCCATTCCACTCATATCACACGCAAATAACATGTTATTCATATTGTTCTATTAATGAACGCATTAAATGTATCCCAAGTGCACAACTTTATAATAAACTGTCTTAACAATAACAAATAATCAAACTTAATAAAAGAACACACCTGCACATTTTGTTCAATTTAAACGTCTTATCAAATTAAATAAAGCAGACAGATTGCGCGTCGCATTGCATTAATATTGAAAAAAGTCTTGTTTTCCAATTTGTCGATTTTAGAAATTAAATTCTCTCACGTACTCCATTAAGTCATCATTCGCTAGCGCGTTTATTATTTGCATTTTTTGAAAATCTTTCTATTGGTGAATTTTTCTCCGGAGAGAACTCGTAAAAAATGAACAATGCTTTACGATATTTATTAATTTTATTTGGAATATCGTATCATGTGGCAGAAATCCGTACAATAAGAAAAAAATGAAAAAGGTTTTCGCCCTAGGGCGAGTAACTAGCGCATTTTTTGTGCATTTCCCGGTACTTTCTAAAAGACTAAAGCTATATGCGCTGTGTTTTTCTTTACTAGAAGCATCTGTGGTGTTTGCAATATGCGATATGCTTCCCTTTACTAGAAGCATCTCTATGGTTAAAATTAAAAAAAAATATCTATAAAGAACGTTGACATTGCGACATGCGTATATATGAATCGTCAAGATTTCCCAAAAACGACGAAGGAAGTATCTTGAAAACTGTAGTCGTTAGGGGTGCCTTGTGCCTTCTAACATGGGTTGGGCTAATGAGGTAAAAAAAACATATTTGCTTTATTAAGTTAACTTGAGTTAATGTTTGTCTGCGGCGGGAAAACTCGTAACTCAGTTATTCACTTTATATTCCATTTTTTAGTGCATTTTCCAACGAACTTGGGTGATTGAAGCGATTTTTCTGTCTGTCCGTCCGTCTGTCCACCCATCCGAGGCTCTACAAGTTTCGATATATCTAGGTCGTTCCTTTTTTATTCGGTAGCTTTTAGTTCTGGCACTTGAGCCAAGAAAAGTCCTGACGATTAATGTGCGCAGACTACGCAATGCCATAGATTGATTTTCAAATTTTAACCTTAGACGCTTCTAGCTAAGGCAAACATATCGCATGAAGTAAATGTTTCCATACGCAGATTGCGCAATGCCAACTCGCATGTATGGAGATATTTCTTTGAAATTGTAACATAGCGTATTGAGATTTTTACTTTAAACAAATGCATGGAGTCTCTATTATTCTATTATTCTCGCCAGCGGAGAATGCCGCTATGTCATAATTATACAGTGAATTTTTTTTAAATGCGAACATAGGAGTTTGCATGCAATGTAATTTCCCTATGTTCGATTTTTAAAAAAACACATCAATCTATTGAGTAGTTCAAATGAGTAGTAGATACAATTGACAGCTGTCACATTTTTAAAAATACCGCCGTCCAATTTAATTACGAAATCGGTTAGGTTATTGCTTAGAATGTCAAGGAGGACACTTCGAACATTTATTGTAATTGTTTTCGGTATTTATTTTCTTCATTTATGTATTGAATAGATCAAATTAGTAGAATACCAGGTGCACATGACCTACAAATAATTGAAGGTTGGTTCACAATCAGTTGTCGTGTCAGTGCGTGGCCTGTGAGGTCAAGTTATCGTAAGTTTAAGAAAAATGTATCTTAAAGTTGCTATGGCTTCACATGGCTTCTTTAAAAAAATCTTACCGAGTGCTCTTCATCATAAAGACTACAGTTGCTGTTCATAGTCACACAAGTTGCGCGATTTGGGAATGTGAACCGCGCACACCTCATAGATTGATGTGTTTTTTTTTAAAATCGAACATAGGAAAATTACATTACATGCAAACTCCTATGTTCGCATTTAAAAAAAATTCACTGTATGAACCTACAGTTGAATTCAAGAAAGATGAGCCCTGCTTGTGCGGTACGGTTCGAAACGCTGCTGGTTCACGACGAGATTCGCCACGGGACAATGGTGCAAATGTGGACATGCCTTCATAACGCAATTAATTTGACCTATGCTTTTTTTATTACACTATCCGATTGTTAGTAACCCATGACGTACCGGCATTCTTTCCTGGCGAGAATAGTATATAAATTCTTACGTTTAGTTCAATCATCAAACAGATTCTGTGTAATAGCAACAATAAAACTTGCGGGAACCGATCCACGTACGCTATGATACATGTTTTATTTAAATTTTAACAAGGAACAATAGATTTTTGTTTCGGTTCTTTTGTATTCAAACTCAAGATTTGAATTCGACAAAGCACCAATCATAAAATAAAGGAACAAATTCTCCTCTTCCCGTTTGTGATGCAATTTTTGTTTTATCAAATCCGTTCATCTTTGAATACCGACTGCATCGACAGAAAGGACGAAATTGACAAACGAAATTTCGCGTTGCAGCATCCGACCTTTTTAGCACACCACAAGTAAAAAAAATATACAATATTGTGACCTTTTCCTCCGACTTTTAATTTTTATTGCTTTTATTATTTTGATAACTAATTCCAATCCACTGTACAATCGCAAAAAGCCCTACCTT